GCAAACTCATTAGTCAACAGAGCCAAATATCAACAATACGACGATTGAAATTTCTTTTGAGAGCCAGATTTTTTAAACTTAAACTATATAGGTAGGTACATTGTTATTAACTTAATTAGGTTACTCCTAAGGCTTAGGAAGAGCCACACTCAAGGGGCCAAAGAGCCGCATGTGGCTCACGAGCCGCGGTTTGCCGACCACGGCCCTAGGTGGTTTGGCTCAGTGGATAGAGCGTCAGCCTGCAGACTCATGGGTCCCAGGTTCAATTCCGGTCAAGGGCATGTACCTTGGTTGCAGGCACATCCCCAGTAGGGAGTGTGTAGGAGGCAGCTGATCGGTGTTTCTCTCTCATCAATGTTTCTAACTCTATCCCTCTCCCTTCCTCTCTGTAAAAAATCAATAAAATATATTTTTTTAAAAAACCAAACTAAAATAGGTCCACAACTCTAGGTCCCTTGACTGAAATTTACAATGCAGAGGATAACTTCCCTACTGGAGCAGTGTCACTGTAGTGTGAGTAGATGCAAGACTGCAGTGAGTTGGTCAGAGAAACTATGAAAGAACACTATTTTTTGGAAACGTAGTTTCAATTAATCTATTATTGGTTACATAGGTTTATATGCCTCCCTTGTGACCTATTAAAGCAGGTCTTAATTTCATCTGCAGGTTGGAAACTAGTCATTGTAGCTCAATGAAGGTAAATGAGACAATTCACAATAAGTTCCTTAGTACAGAATCTGGCACAGCTAAGCCCTTAAAATTGTAACTATGATAAGCTTAGTTTTAGGGTGTTGCCTTCAGTTTCACAAAGACAGTTTTTTTAAAATTTGGTTTTAAGTACAGAGATAGTCTGGGTTCATTGAATTTACTGTTACATTTTGTAAAATTTGAATATATACTTAATGTCTAGACTCCCTATGGAGGATCTGGTTAATAACTGAAAATACCAAGTTCATGTACCCGCTGAGAAAACTGAGATGGTATTATAGACAACTAGAGGGATAGGGTCGCTAGGCCTGGCCGGCAATCGGCCTATCTGTGGGGCAACTGGTGAGGCAGTCGGGGCCCCCGCCCCCTCACCTGTTCCACCATCCCATCACAGTCCTGCTCTCATTGAGGCCCATTGGGGCCAGCAGCGCCTCATTGCTGATGCCTGCCATATTCTGCGCCACCCCCTGGTGGCCAGCGCACATCTAACTCACGGTCAGTTAAACTGCCTGTGGGGACAATTTGCATATTAGCCTTTTATTATATAGGATGGATGTGCTGGAACTCAAAACTCCAAAGGGGCCCAGCTGGTGTGGCTCAGTGGTTGAGTGTTGACCTATGAACTAGGAGGTTGCAGTTTTGATTCCTGGTTGGGACTTGGTCCCAGTGGGGGGCATGCAGGAGGCAGCCAATCAATAA